TAAGGCCCTAAAGACCAGTGTTGGGAGTAACGCTGTTTAAGTATAACGGCGTTTCTAACGGCGTTCTTTTATAGGTAACGGAATAATCTAATTAATTGCTTTTCCCGCCGTTACAACGCCGTTACCGTTACTGGGGACGGAACATTGTGCGTTACTATGTGCTTGTCGAACGTTGAGCAGCAGCGTGAGGCTTTCTGACCGCCACACTTCAGCTGCAGCCAGGGAGAGAGAGGTGTCGGTAACGCGCTTACAAATATGATGATGATTGGCCGGGTGGGCGGAGACCCTCACGGTCTCAGTCACTGCACTTCTGTAGACACAACGGGAATAACTCCGTTTAAAATAACCGCGTTAATAAAAAATATTTCTTTCTGTAACGAGCAAACTAATTAATTACGTCTTCTTTTATCAAAACGTTGTTCCTGTTACTGATAAGAAAATGCGTGCAGCAGCGAATCTGTGGGTCTGTAGCCGTGCCCTTAGCGTGACAGCGGGACGTCCCGAAGGTCCGCTCACCTGTTCACCGCTCAGACGTCCTGATCTTCTGCCTTCCTAGATCATCCAGCTGTAACCTGTTCCTGATCATGTCTTTAGTCCCGCTGTAACACTGATGCATCAGTCTCAGATGGCATGGAGCTCAGTTGTTACTAGAACTACCTGTGTGTGTTTACCACCCAGCTTCAGCTCTTCTGTGGTTGGGTCTGACCCAAGTTAGTAAATGTAAGTCCTCTATCAGATCAGTGCCTCTTCTAGTGTCATTTTAAAGGATATTTATTTATTTATTTATTTATTTAACCGTTACTAGATTAGCAGCAACAGAAATGTTACTAAAAACACACAATTATGTGAAATTGGAAAAATTAGAATGCTGTGCAAAATTACATTCATTTATGTCATTTAACTAGACTGAGAGACCATTTAAAGGCGCTGGAACCTTTACAGGTGTTTCTATTTGCAATTTTAAATTTAAACTGATTGAGGTCTTGTTAAATATCACACAGTGACCTTTTAATAGTCTAGATTAGTGTAATGCTCCTGTTAGTAGTTCCTCCTGTTAAGTGCGTATTTGTTTAAATTATTCAGGTTTATATAAAACATTTGGACATACATTTTATTATGTTCAGTCATGAGTCATTTATATTTCACTATTGTAGTAATTCTTGCATTCTTTAATGAAAAAAGTAACTAAGTAGTTACTTTTGTTGGTAATTAGTTACTTTTATGATCTTGTAACTCAGTAACTGAGTTACTTTTTTGACAAAGTAATCAGTAACTAAAACTAATTACTTTTTTAAAGTAACGTTCCCAACACTGCTAAAGACCAGAACCGGGATCTTGAAATGAACCCTGAAGTTGACTGGCAGCCAGTGAAGCGGGGTGATGTGGGTGTGTTTGGAGGACTTGGTCAGAAGCCGAGCACAGGCGTTCGGAATCACCTGTAGACGGTTCAGGGAGGTTCTCCTCAGACACGTGAAAAGAGAGTTACAGTAGTCTAAGCGTGAGGAGATGAAGGTGTGGATAACTGTCTCAAGTTCAGAGCGGGATAGAATGGGACTCAGCTTAGCAACGTTCCTGAGATGGAAGAAGGAAGAGCGAACAAGAGAACTGACATGAGAATCCAGGGTGAGAGCTGGGTCAAAGGTCATGCCAAGATTCCTGACAGAAGGTTTGGTGTGAGAAGCAAGCTGACCAAGAGAGTCTCTGACTTTGGGAACCAGCTTGTCTGGGGCACAGATGAGGATCTCAGTCGTATCTTCATTCAGCTGTAGAAAGCTCCCACCATCCAGGTTTTGAGTCTAAGCAGGTGTGTAACAGCTGCAGCTTAGACATCTCATGGGGCTTGAAGGAGATGTACAGTTGGATGTCATCTGCATAAAGATGGTAGGAGATTCCTTTGAAGGAGCGCAGGATGTGCTGAAGAGGAAGCAGATAGAGGAGGAAGAGCAGAGGCCCCAGCACAGAACCTTGTGGGACACCATGGGTAAGGGAGGTGGTGGAGGACCTAAACTTGGAGACGGCCACAGAAAAGGAGCGCTCAGAGAGATAAGAGGAGAACCACTCCAGAGCAGTTCCTGATAGGCCTACCCAGTCTCTCAGCCTCTCCAGTAGCAGGTGATGGTCAACAGTGTCAAAATCTGCAGTCAGGTCCAGCAGGACCAGAACAGAACAGTCCCTGCATCACTGTGAGTCAGAAGGCCATTAGAGACCCTAAGAAGAGCTGTTTCAGTAGAATGAGCTCTACGAAAACCTGACTGGAAGCTATCATAGATGTTATGTTCATCAAGAGCAGCTGTGAGTTGTTTAGCCACAACCTTTTCCAAGATCTTGGAGATGAATGGAAGTTTAGAGATGGGTCTGAAGTTGCTATGGAGAGAGGGGTCAAGACTCGGTTTTTTAAGAAGCGGGTGGATTACAGCATTCTTAAAGTAAGCAGGAACCTGACCAGAAACCAGAGAAGCATTAATTATGGAGAGCACGCTGGGACCGATGGACTGAAAAGCACTTTCAAACAAAGATGAGGGTAAGATGTGGAGGGGGCGTGCAGAGGTCTTCATAGAGTTAACTAGTTTGGTTAACTCAGGCAAAGAAACAGGAGCAAAGCTATCTAGGATGATGGGCCTGGTTGGAGTCGGGAGAGGCAGCGATAAGGCTGAAGGAGAGATGCTTGATCTAACCTTATTGACTTTGTCCACAAAGAAAGACAGAAAGTTCTCAGTCTGTAACAGAGTGAATGGAGGCTGTAGGAGAGGCAGGAGAGACGATGCTGCTGATGGTGTTAAACAGCACCTTGGGGTTCCCTTTGCTCTGGGACACCAGGTTGGAGAAATAGGAAACCCTGGCGTCTCTGCAGAGTTAAAGGATGACAGAAGATCCTTTAGGTGCGGCAGATGGACGTAGAGATGGGTTTTCTTCCACAAGCGCTCAATTTTTCTGCATTGGCGCTTCAGGCTGCGAAGGCTGTCATTAAACCAGGGAGTAGGGTTCACTGCAGGAACTGATCTGGTTCTGACAGGACAGATATTGTCCAGAATGGAGAGGCAGTGCTCGTTGAACTGAGAAGTTAAGGAATCTGGGTTGTTATCAGAACAGGGTGGATCAAAAACAGCAGAAAAATTGCTAGCTGTGCTCTCATTAAGAAAACGAGAACTAACCATACGGCGAGCAGGAGGTGGGGACGCAGAAACTGACAAGTTAAAGAAAATTCAATGGTGAGACTCAAAATCCTGGAACAGTTTCCAATCCAGACCGAGGCTCTACTGAGGCCTTTCCACGGAGCTAGCTCTGTGCTCATTAATTATACAGAATTTTAGGTTTTTAATATACTCAAACAGAAGAGTGAGAAAAAAAATTGACCCCCCCACAGAGTTGTCATGAGTGTAAACTAGATCATTTAAACCTAAAACATGTTTTGGTACCAGGCTGTAAACATGTTTATTTCTGCTGTGAAATTGGTATTTTTAACATGGGAGTCAATGAGGATTTGCTCACTTCTGACACCAGCCCCTAGTGGACGAGGGTGGAACTGCAATTGTTGGTACTTCCGGGATTGCTTCAATTTTTGAGCCGCATTGTGGGGCTTGATTGGGACTCCCAACGCGTGGGGAGATTTACGACGCCCATGCTAAAATACACATTTTACTGACATTTAACCTCTAACCTCGTGCTATTTAGTCTTCCCCTCACCCCCATCCTACCCTTAACCCTATTGCTCATTCTAAACTTTCCGCTAACCGTGTCGGAATAGAACGTAACAGCTAGAGACAACGTTTTGAATGTGCAAGATGGTTAAGGTTAGAATGGGGGTAAGGGAAGGTTAAATATCAAGAGGGTAAACGTCAGAATTCGGTGAAATCTCCGTTTTACCGCGGCAGTCGGAAACCGACGTGCTCGCCTCCCGACGTGTCAGAAACAAGCGTGGTCATCCAGCACCATTTTTCCGACACTTCAGGTGTGAGAATGCGTTGGTGCAGCAGGAGAAGCCTGTTAATCACCTGCTGATTGAAATCAGGTGTGTTTAAGACGTGAATACCCCTGCACTACAGGTTTATCCAGTTTTTTTTTTCTGATTTAATGACACCTGCCATTTTTAAACCAGGAGACATTTCATTTTGTCTTTTTATTGGTGGAAAACACAATCAGATGCGTATTTCTCAAGTTAACATGAATATTGATGAATTAAAATTGCTTTAGTATTGCTATAGAGAATCAATCTGAATTATTTTGAGGGACATTGCTTTTTAACAGCCAATGTCACACCAGCGAAACCCCAGAAGATTACATCCCATAAACAAAAGCCCTCCTCATAATGAAGGGCTTTGTTGCCATCAGCTTACTGATATGATTGTAAGGTACGGGGGTGGAAATAAGTACTTGTTTCTCTTTACGGGTTCAAATTAGCCCCCTCTGCGAAAAATAGAAGGGTCATTAAGTCTGAGATCAGGGCAGCAGTCATTACAGTCACAGGAGCCGTTAAAAGGAAATCTTTATCAGAAATCCCTTTTACTCCTCCTCTCCATGCTCAATGCACCATGAAGGGAAAACACTCCTGTGTGTGCATCATGCATCCTTCCTTCCACGGTAGTTTTACCACAACTTCCCCAATTAACTCTAATGGGCAGTAATATCGTTTTGTGTTTATCACTCGGTCCTGTTGGAACTCCTCCATGAATCCATATCCCTCCTCCTCCACAGCCTTCCATCCTGCATGGGCAGATGCTCCACCTCCATCCTCCTCCAGACCTGCGGTGTCAATGGTTTAAACGGATTGCCCGAGCAGACAGTTAACCTTCTCATCCCATAAAAAGTATAATTGGTTTACTATAGAAAGGAGCCCTTCTCCGTGCCGAGCATAATCCCCCGGCTTGATTAATGCTCCTCTAATCAATTGGTGTCTGCAAGACCCGCCTCCTCAGTCACATCCTGTAAAGGGGAACAGCTGGACTTTCTAAAGGTCAGAGTGCCGGAGGGGGGGGGGGGGGGGGGGGGCACCTGGAGGTGGCGTTGGACTACATGTTAACAAAACTCCTGTGCTTCCTTTAGAAAGTTGTCTGCAGGGTATCTGCAGGTTTAAGGGAACCAAATTTAAGACTTTTTAAGACCTTTTTTAAGGCCACTTTGACCAAATTTAAGCAATTTTTAAAAATTTAATTTAAGCTATAATTTCCAGCTATTGCCTGGAACCGGTGCTAACCACGTCACAAATGTGGGATTAGCCATCCAGTTACCATTAAACTTGCACTTCCCCATGGCACAAGATCCCACTAGCTTAACCAGCTAATGTGCTCATCTCATTTGGTTGGTGAGTGATCAGGAGCAGAGCCGTTTACTTGGAGCTGGTGTACTTGGTGACAGCCTTGGTGCCCTCAGAGACGGCATGCTTAGCCAGCTCGCCGGGCAGCAGGAGGCGGACAGCGGTCTGGATCTCCCTGGAGGTGATGGTGGAGCGCTTGTTGTAATGCGCCAGGCGAGAAGCCTCAGAGACGATGCGTTCAAAGATGTCATTGACAAAGGAGTTCATGATGCTCATGGCCTTTGAGGAGATCCCAGTGTCGGGGTGGACCTGCTTCAACACCTTGTACACATAGATGGCATAGCCCTCCCTCCTGGTCTTTCTCTTCTTCTTGCCTCCTTTTCCAGCAGTTTTGGTCACAGCTTTCTTGGAGCCCTTCTTGGGTGCAGACTTGGCAGGTTCAGGCATCTTCTCTACAGTTTACTGGTAGATGAGTTAACTTTAACTTTAAAAATAGCCCCCTTTCACAACCAACTGAATGTGTACAGTTCCGCTTATGCCAACATCGTACGCAAAAAACGCTGAACTAGAAATTCACAAAATTTTTATAGAAATAAAAGAATCTTGTTTATTGGGTCTTTGGTAATTTAAGACCTTTGGAAACTGTATTTAAGGATTATTTGTCATTTTTAAGGTCTTAAATTTGGAAAAGCTAATTTAAGACTTTTCAAGGACCCGCAGATACCCTGTGTCTGTGCAATAATCAGATTTTATGACACGTTTCTGTGATTGCTTGGGTAAATAATTTAGCAACGAGGGCTAAAACACCAACACGATTATACCTTTTGGCTCAAAATTAAGAATAGGCTCAAGTCAGATAAAGGTTAAGTTTAGGTTTAGCAACAAGGGTGAAGGTTAAGGCCACAGGGAGATGATGGTAATGGGATCCCACATCTGTGGTCGTATATTTTAGGGTCACTCTCCCCCGTGTGAGTCCATGAATTCTGCTCAGGAAAATCACAGACAAAGGGGAAGGGGAAAATACTTCATTTGGATGAAATTGCTTGAAGACGCGTCGGCGCGTCTGACATCCTGCAGGATGAGAAAAGATCCCCCGGTGAAATGCTCTTATAATTTTCTCTTCAAACAGGACGTGCTATCATCCTCACAACCAACACCGCTGAAGGGTTTGTGCTCCATTCAGAGCAGATTTGAATAAGTCTTGGAAATTGACACAGAGCCTGCTGTGATGTATGAATATCAATGTCACCTCTGACAGAGTACAACGGGAGACTGGGAAATATCAGTTTATTATGAGCTCTGGATTGGGACAAATCATTCCAATCTGAGAACACCTAATGTTGGAGGACTATTCTCCACGGGGCTGTCCTTGTGATGGCAGGGTTATCTTCACCAAACATCACGATCGATACACAATAATACCACTGACAGACACTTAAAGACGGCCACGCTGAACAAGTCATCACCCCGGAGGACTATGAGCGGTAAATAATGAATTGCTACATTAGCAGGAGGTCTGGTGTTTACATTAGCATTCAGAGTGGACATCTAGGTTACTCTGGATGTTTGGTGGGGCTCCTCATCCAGAGAGGACGAATGCTTTTGTCTCCAAAAAATCCCTGAAATGTTAAAAGAAACCTCACTACACGAGCAGTGGTGCCCCCAGAAAATTTTCATAGGGGGTCCCAGTGTAACTTTTGGGGTGGTTTCCTCTTGGAGAGTTTAGCTTGTTTATTATTATTTTATTTATCCACATGAGTTGATTGAGAACTCATTCTCATTTACAACGACAATCTGGCTAAGAGGCAGCAGCAACACACACAGTTAGCTTTACACCAAAGAAAAATACATAAGATAAAAACATACAAGATCAAAATAAGATAAAACAAAAAGACAAAGGACTATTCTCCTTTACAATATGTACAAGCAACCAAAACAGGCTTAAAACAGTCTTTAACCCTCTGGAGTCATTTCATGTGCAGGAGCGTGATGGCGCGCTTGTCACATTACTCCCGTTATTAAGCAGCCAGGTAAGAACTGACCGTCACGATTACAGCTTGTTTTGACAAAGGGGGTTAAAACTAGGGATGCAATGATACAACTTTTTTCAAACTGATACGATACCGATACTTGGATCTGCGTACTCGTCGATACCAATTACCGATACCGATACTTCTACCACACAAAAAAATGCTACGAATTGGAATACAGGTTTTATTTTCTTTGCTTTCAACAGGAAAAGACTGAGGTGGATAAAAAGTAAAATGTATGAATAGAAATGATCATAAAACTAAAATATTAGGTCAACAGAAATGACAAGTTACAGTGAAGCGACTTTCAAGCAACTGCATTATTATTGGTTCCTGGTATCGGTCAACATTCATCGATACCGATGCTGGTATCGGCACAGATACTGATACCAGCATCGGTATCTGTGCATCCCTAGTTAAAACTAACTAGTTGTGATTTAACATGTTTACCCAAGTAAAAGTAAAACATTTAGCTTCAGTGACGTGTTAAAATTTAAATTGTAATTTATTATATAATTAAATTAATTTATTAGCTTTAACACTTGTGTCTTGACTACTGAAGATTAATTCATGTTTTGTGTAAACATGAAGGATTTTTTTAAAGCTAAAATCTGTATTTTTTTTCAGAGAGGGCACCATCTAGAGGCAGAAAAATGTATAGCACCTTTAAGCCCTTCTTGCTTCAGTGATACGGCTTTAGGCAACTCTTCTCATTTGTGAACACGCCGAGAAGCAGAGCTTAAACACAATGTTAGTTATTTTTCTCGTTGCCTGCTGGTGGTGGTCGGAGGGACCGGTGACGCCAGTGCACGGCAGCCTCGCCTCTGTCAGTGCGCCCCGGGGCAGCTGTGGCTACATCGTAGCTCATCACCATCAGTGTGTGAATGTGTGTGTGAATGGGTGAATGACTGGTCATGTTGTAAAGCGCCTTGGGGGGTTCCAGGACTCTAGAAGGCGCTATATCAAATACAGGCCATTTACCATTTTTACCATTCTCGCATTATGCTTTTAATTTGGTAGTTTATACATATAGATTTACAAAACGTACTTATCCACGAGAAGTATCTGCAACTCTGCATCAGTCTAGGTACATCCACAAATGTGCATGCATGCTCAGTGATTGCCATCTGCACATCTAATGCTATTGGCCAATGCCGAGTGGTGCTTAATTACAGAGTATGACAATTACTTTTATGGATTTCTTAAAACATTTTTACATAAACCCTGAAAGGGGGAACCCCCTTGAGGTCACCACAGTAGACAAGAACAGATGGACTGCTGGGTAAACCTTGAAATGAGTGGCTCATTCATCTTTAAGATCTGTTGAACGCATCATTTGTAGCTTCCTGCTGTGGCGCGGGTATTGATGAATCATCTCCACAACCTCTTTGCTGCAGGTGTTTTACACCTATCAGTTCCCCGCTTTATCTCTGCCTCACCTTTAAACTTTCCACAAGGTGTCACAGCTGATCGGCTGCTGATTTGGTTAAACTTGTAAACAACAACAGCCATCTGTCTCCATCAACTTAAATGACAGCTCAGCTCTTATTCTGTTATTTATACGGCGCTGCAGCGCACGAGCAGCAGGCGCTGGCAAACGGGGATTTGGCAGCACGGCTTGCGTTAGTATGCACATGCATGCTTCTCCAACACACAGACTCACTGCGACAACACTGCAGTCAGACATGGAGGGGGGAGATGGTAAAAAGGGAGTGGGGGATGAAGAGAAAGAAAAGGTCTGTTTCTGAACACTTTCAGCATCCCTATGAGGTCAGCTACTGGGACGTAAATACAGAAAGAGCTGCCACTGGGCAGAAACCTACAGCTTTCTCAACGAGCCTCTGAGAAGTGAGCGGAATAAATATTTCACACAGTTGATTCCTAATAGATCTGCAGTGAGCTGGTGAGCAAACCCTTTATTGTGTTGTTTCATTATTAATACGTTGCAGCCAATGGGCTGTGGAATATGTACAGAGCAGCCTGCCCTTCCCTCTTCTAATGCTAATCATCACTGACATTTTCCACACATAGCTAACCCACGCCGGCCACTCTGCAGCAGACCAGAACACCACCAAACATTAGCAACAATAAAATCCATCAAACTGAGCAATAATCGCCCCCGAGACGTTAATACCGCACAATTACAGGCCCTCGGTCGGCCGCAGCGTGGACCCGATATCTCGCGAAAGATTTTGTCATCCTAAAAGGTTTGACAGTCGGGGACTCTCTGTATGTGAAAGGCTGCTGCATTCATCTTCAGCCCATTTATCACTCCTGTCTTCTTTTCTACAGTCCTCTATTCATCTATCAGTCCATTCATCTTTCCATCCATCAGCTCGTGTGGCCTTTGTTCTCCGGCTGTCACGGCCTGTGGCTCTATTTATATAGACATCTCATTTCAACTCTTCACCTCTTTTTTTCAGAGCACTTAAGATTAACAATGAGTGTTCGCAGATCCTTCAGACAGAAAACAAAGCTGCAGACTCAAATATTTAGGTTTTTTTAAGCATCCAAAAGGATTTTAAAAGTCCTCCATCACCCTACGTCTTTGCTCTAGGCGGTTCTCCAAAGTGTTTACCTGGATTTCCAAGATAAATTGGCTTTTTAAGCATTAAAGCCCAAGTTCACTCGTTCTTTCAACACATCTGCAGTGGTCTAATATAAATTAACACCTTGTGGGTAAATGGCTCTGGTGCTCCTGTTTCAGGAACTAGAAATGACCCAGAGCCGAGGTGGGCAGGATTTGCAGTCTTATTTCTTAATGTTTGGACATCTCACCTCTGATTGGCTAACAGCAATGTGACTCTACCACTGACTCCATTTACATTCATTTCCACAAACAGCACAAGTCTGAAGGAGCGTTGCCATGTTGTGGAGCTGCTAAAGCTAAGAGTTAGCTTCTTCTAGCCGCTGCTGCTTCCTGGACTCTAAATAAACAACAGCCTTCCCGAGCCAAGGTGGGCAAGTCCACGAAAGCTAATCTACAACGTGGCATGGATTTTCTAATTTCAGTCTCCTCGTCTGTTTTCTACCGGCAGTTGATGCAGGAAATGTAACGTCTGCATACTTTGGTGACTGTTAAAACATTTTGGTATATTTGGCTTCGTGTTTTTGTCATTAAACAAGTATTTTGTGCCATTAGAGTTTAGAGGGGGCTGCGCAGTGGCACAGTGGTTAGAGCCTTTGACTTGCAGCAAGAAGGTCCTAGGTTCGCTTCCCGGCCTGGGACATTTCTGCATGGAGTTTGCATGTTCTCCCCGTGCATGCGTGGGTTCTCTCCGGGTACTCCGGCTTCCTCCCACAGTCCAAAAACATGACTGTTAGGTTGATTGGTCTGTCTAAATTGTCCGTGTGTGTGTGTGTGTGTGTGTGTGTTAGGGGTTGTAGGAACTAGTCGACTAGTCAACTTCACGGCTCTGTAGTGACTTTTTATGCCTGTCATCGACTAGTCGCTGTCACGTGATAATGACTGACAAGATGCAGTCCACGGAAAATCAAATCAAATCAATTCAACTTTATTTATAGAGCGCTTTCACATGGCCAAAATGGACAAACAAAGCGCTGACAGCAGGTGATGAGCCCCTGCGCGTCTGGATCGAGGCGGAGGCGACGCGCTGTGCGAGAGCGTCGGTACTGACACCGGCGGTAAAACGGACATTTAACCAAACTGTGACCTTTTCCCTCTTGTAATTTCACCTTCCCCTCACCCCCATCCTAATCTTAACCAGTTTGCACATGCAAAGCTCTGATCGTTGACGCGCGCTCCAGACATCTGCGTCCTGAGCACCGCCAAATCAGGTGTCACCACCTCAACAACAAATTAAACACCCAATCGTTCATGTCGGCACATTTCCTTTCATGTTTTCTGTCTGTTATTTGTGCCTGATGCATTTCGCTGCTGCGGAGCGAGGCGCATCACCTGTTGTCCTCCGGTGACGCACCCCCAAGATTCCACTATCTCCGCTCCGCTCCGGCACGAACTCCGCAGCAAAAACGGTCCCGTTGTAGTCGGCCGGTGAGCAGCGGCACTCCGCTGTTTTTGCGGTCGGTAGATCTTTTAGAACTGCAGTTCAAAGGTAACTCATAAGGTGAATATATATGAACCCAGGTAGCAGTTTCTCTTTAGGATTGAGAGGAGATGCAGGAAGATAACAAACAGGCAGGACAGAAAAATAGTCAAATAAAAACAAGTTAGTTTTTGTACCTGCTGGTTGCAACAAACAGACACCACTGAAGGTAATCAGAAGTGAGGAACAGAAAATGAAATAATTATTTTAACGTTTAGAGCAGCAGGAACTCCGAGAGGCTGCAGGCGCATCAGTGAGTTTGCGGCTGCTGCGCAGGGGGAGGGGGGAGATGGCTGAAGCAGGATGCAGAAACTACAGTTGTTAAAAGAGATGTTTTAACTTAGAAAATATGGGCGCAATTTTAATTGTCAAAAACTCCAGCGAACCTACCGACCCCCCCCCCGGCGTATGACGTCATCAACGACTAGTCGAAGTCGACTCGACTTTCATTACTTGACTGTCGACTTTAAAAAAAAATAAAGTCATGCAGGCCCTAGTGTGTGTGTGTGTGTGTGTGTGTGTGTGTGTGTGTGTGTGTGTGTGTGTGTGTGTGTGTGTGTGTGTGACTGTTTGTCCTGTGTGTCTCTGTGTTGCCCTGCGTGGACGAAGCGGGTTCAGAAAATGATTGGATGGATGGATAGATAGAGTTTGGAGGATGTTTGGTGCTTCCCTTTAGAAATTTAAACCCATAACTTTAAAAATGAGATGAGAATGCACTTAGCTGCAATTCTGCAGCGTTTGAGACGATAAAAACAAACCAGAACAAAGTCTAAATTTGTTTCAGTAACTTTTATAAAGATCAGTCTTAACTTAAGGCGTCATGCTTGAAAATCATCAAGAATAAACCCATGATTGTCTTTTTATCGAGGACGTTTGACATCGCCTTTTTGACCAATAGCAGATACACTAGTTGAGTCAAAAATTACACTCAATTAATATCCCAGTTTAAAAAAAAAAAGCTAAATCCTTTTAGGTAGTTTTAGGATGTGAATCCATAGATTTTAAAATCAAAGATGAACGAAAACTCTCAGCTTAGTCCTTCTGAACTGTTTACCTCTGTATCATCTGGAGGCTGGAATGTTCTGCTGAGAGGGAAACGTAGGCTCAAGGTAGAGCGATAAGTGACGCTTTCTTTATCTCTTTATCTCAGAGCTTTAGTCTGTCGCCGTTTTCTTCTTTTCATCTACAACTGACTTTTACCATCAGTAAAACTTTCCACCATCTGTAATTGGTATCTGAGATATGAGCACATTAAGATGGAATCTATTCTGAGGTCCTTAATCTGATGAGTAAAAAAACTATTATTTTGATTGATCAGAAGTGGGAGGGATCAATGGTTTTGCTAGAGAAAGAATATAAAAAAACAAGTTAAGTGGATTTCCTGGCTCCAATATAAGCCAATTAACCTTACACTGAGGCAATTAACAGTGAATGGAGTGGTTCAATATCACAAAAGTGAAGCCCTGAGAAGTTATTTGCAGAATAGTTTATCTCTATTGAGCTGCGTGGTGCCAGTCCTAGCAGGGACGACCAAGTCGGCGTGCCTGGTGACAACCTCTGAACTCATCGGTAACCGTGACCCCTGCGCAGAGTCATCTTTTAACGATGATTCATGCCCGCCTTCTGCCCTCTGCTGCTGGATCCGCCTCACCTCTCTGCATGTTAATGACGACTTTCCTTTGGAGTGCAGGTTGGGCGTACGGGTTCTCACACGACTCACAAGAGGAGCACATGATTAGGGAGACAAATGATATAAGAGCCAATCATCTCCCACCCACCGCGGTCATTAAAGCAACACACAGCAACAATAGATCAGCGCTAATTGGATGCTAAATGTGACCACGACAACACGCTACTGCCATCCATCAGTGGATCCGTCTCAAAGGAGAACTTCTGTTGACCTTATGATTTACATCATGGTCACTTTTCTTTCATCTACACGACAAAATAACTCAGATGGTGAATAACAACGATAATAAACCTCTTCAGTTTGTGTACACAGGGTCGGCTTTATTGTTTTAGGATTAGAAAGACGTTTTAATGTTAAATATTAAAAAGCAGCATAACAGAAACTAGCTTCAACCAAATAGGAATTACATGAGGTACACTTTGGTCTCAGTTGGCTATCAAAACGTTTACATTTGTTTCTGTGTGGATTCACTGTTTTGTTTAAAGTGAAATTCTCGAGACGTCATAATTTAGCACATAAAACTTCAATAAATTTGTGAAGTAAAAAGAACTACCCATCCATGTATTTCAGGAACTTGCTTCCTTATTTTGTCCTTTGTTTGAAGAATTTGGAAAACATCCCTTTCCTGTCTTTGAACAGTCCAAACGGCTGTCAGTTTGGATTTTTTATTTCAGACCTTTTTAAACCTTCATCAAAACAACATAAAATATATAAATAAAAAATTTTAATTATTAACCAAGTTTTTCAGCTGGGAGTTTAAAGGGACATTATGGAAGTGTGACAGCCAAAACACGTATAGAAATAATAAATGTCTTCTTCATACATTCTCCTGCAATGCCCTGGTCCTGTAGAATGAGCCCTGGCATTTTTACTGTGATTGCCTGTTTTTCTGTAAAATCACAGAAAAAGAGAGATGCTCGGGTCGAGCAGGCTGCTTCATGCGCGTTCACACTCAGGCATCGCCCGTAGCATTTGCTATCCTTAGCTTTAGCAGCAGAGAGTGAGGCAGTGCCACTTTGTCGCTGTTCCTAACGCCGTGTGACAAAGCTAGCTACATTTCTGAGGACCCTTAGCTACTTTCTGTAGAACTTTCTTCTAGATATTTCCTGCAAATTAGCAACAAAATAGCCATTTTCACTCCGAATCGTTCTTTGGATTGACGTTGTTTCAGCTGTCATCAAGGACATAAATGTTACAAAGATACTAAGGATGTCACTGGTGCTTTAGCTCACCTAGTAAGACATTGGACTCCTGTGCAGAAGACCTGGGTTTGATTCTGGATGTGAACATAGTTTATTTAGAGTTTCTTTTTTTACATTAATGGTATATTTTTTTACAATAAGATGCCCAAATTTTTATTTGAGACTCGCCGAACGGCATTGAATTCACAGATAAAAAAGATGTGGGTTCAACTTTCATTTTGGAACAATTTTTCAAGCAAGGGAAGGGAATGATCTGAGCATGCAGGAGGACTGACCCATCATAAACCTTTGTCGGCTGTGCTGAAGAGAAAGGTACAGAACCAAATTATTTAATTAATTAGCTGTGCGTTCTGTCCTCTGTCCTCCGGGCCACACACACACACACACACACACACACACACACACACACACACACACACACACACACACACACACACACACGGGACTGCCTCAGCTGTTATTTTCGTTAAGGAGTGTGCACGTACAGCATGCGCACCTCGTGCACGAGCCTACTATTGAAGCTGCCGTTACGCATTTGGCCTGAGGGGGCAATCACGAGCATAAAAATTCAAAACTCCGTAAAGTCCCTTTAGGTGACGATGTGCATTTTCCCTGGCGATAAGGGGCAGTAGATACCGAAATGATTGCAAACAAGCTGTGAGTGAGACCGTAGCGGCGGATATCCATTAGGGTCAAAAATCCATGGGAGCACAACCTCCAGTAAAACAAGCTCATCAGACTCCCTTTCATCACAGGCAACGAGTGAAGAGGTAAATGTGTAAAACAATGTTTATGAAATGCTAAAGTTATTTATTCATGTTTTACAAATCCATAAACGCATTTTGTCATCACGGGTTCCCATAGAAGGAAACATGGCGCCTATGCGGCGTCGCCCAAACTTAGACCCGCCTCCATGTATTTAAGACCTGAGTTAAATGTTGCAAAGCCGCAAATATTTTTCAGCAACTGGGCATCATTTCAACCATTTTCAACAACACTTCCATCAATATTTCCAGAGATTAACGGTAAAAACTTCACATTGTCCTATTTGTGACACTTCACTCAGATTATCTAAATCTGATGGATTATCCTGCATGTGAGATTCGCCTTCCCCTGTGACAGTTTGTCACAACCTTCAGATTGGCATCAAACAGTTTTGCTTCAGATCGTGATTTGAACGGTCAGAAAGAGTCACTAATGAGACGATGTGTGTCTCACCAGCTTGGTGCTGACAGCACACAGGAAGGAAACATTTTCCTTCCAAAGGAATCAAAACACTAAAACATTTAAAAATATACAATGTTGGCCTTTTCAAACGGATCCAAGCGTGTAGGAGTCATGGAAAAACCACTCTCGGATCGCGCTGCCTCTTATTAATAACGTGTCACTTATACCAGCTCTACTTTGATCAAAAGAGAGCGGATTCCTTTTGAACAAAGAGAAAACTACCTGAACCAATCCGTTTGTCACCACGACTGTGTGATTAAGGAAATATTTTCAATAAAGCTATATAAAACGGTAAATCCTCCCTCCTTGTGTCATCATATTAAAATTAATGGTAGAGACTAGAAATGATCTTGACTTGTTGGGAGAAAAATCTAACTGCTTTGAAGTCACAGTCAGGTCGTCCTGTTTCCATTTCCAGCCTCCTCAAGAGAGGATATCTTCAGGTAGCAGGGATGAGACAATCAGCTGTCAATTAGAATGGACCAGAGCAGGAAGTATGGGAATCCAGTGGCACAGCGGCGTGGTCATGTATCCTCACTTCAGTCAGAAACTGTCCGTCGGGCAGAATCCAGTAAGGGTTGAGTCAAGAGTGAGATGACTTATATGAGAAGTCAGAGGTCCAAGAAGTAAACCCTAAAACTTGATTGTGTGGAGAGAAAGAAATCACCAAATTATCGACAGGAAGGACTCCTCGTTTGTGTGTTATTGCTTCGCTGAGGGATCAGACAAAGAGCAGCCCAAAGACCTCAAATCTCAAGCTAACGTTATATTAACAGTTTATCTACCTTAAGGAGCAGAGTAAGACAATCGCTCACCTAAAACTTTGTCAATGTTGTCATCGTCACCCATCACCTTTAGTGAAGTAGACCTAAACTTTAGAGCATGTTTTACCATGCTGCTTGCTCCGTTTACATCTCGCCCGCAGCGACTGATAACATAACGCTTTTTCGCATGTACTGTTGTCCATCTTGGGAAATCAGGTACCGAATGCTAGTGCGTAAGTGGTAAAAGGTACCGAAACAAGGCACCGTTTCATATCACGTGAATCGGTCTTGGTCGGTGCCTTAAAAATACCAAATACAGTACCCATCCCTACTCGGGACGTTGTGGATCGGTGGGCAGAATACTTTGAAGACCTCCTCAATCCCGCCGGCATGCCTTCCAGTGAGGAAGTAGAGCCTGGGGACTTTTGGTTGGGCTCTCCTATCTCTGGAGCTGAGGTCACTGAGGTTGTCAAAAAGCTCCTCGGTGGCAAGGCTCTGGGGGTGGATGAGAGTCGCCCAGAGTTCCTCAAGGCTCTGGATGTCGTAGGGCTGTGGTGGCTGAAGAGGCTCTGCAATATTGCGTGGACATCGGGTGTAGTTCCACTGGACTG